TGTCTTCTAGACACTGAGAGCCTGGGATCAGCCCACCAGTGAAAGTAGGGGAAACAAAATCAACCCAGATGCTTCCTGTGTTCAGGAAGCATCTATGTGCCAGGTCTCCCTGGGACTGAGGGGATGAGGTCCTGTCTCCCAGACACCCACCAGCTTTACCTTCTGCAGCACCAAACCTCCAGCCCATCACCTCTTGCTTCTGAACAGCAGGGACCAGCCGCCAGCAGGGCAGCTCACAAAGTTGTGCTCTGGGACTAGGCAGGAGGACGCTCTAGATGCATCTTGAAAACTGGAAGAGTGAATTTATTAAGCAGTTTTCTAACTCTGGATCATTTCCCCAGGAGGGAGTTAAAGCTCCAGCACGTTGGAGATCCTGTGTTCGGAGCAGCAGAGAAGTAAACAGAGATGTTCAAAGCACCAGGCTTTAGGGAGAAGACCCTGGGAAAGTATCTCCAGTCGGTGTGGTGAAAAAATCTGGGTTAAAAATCTGATTGCTAGAGTCTTTCTGCAGAAAGCAGCTGGAGGGAACACAGAACCATCCCGGAGGAGGAACAGAGGGTGGTGAGGGCAGCAGCCCAGGGTAGGTGTGACTCACACTCACTGCTCTGGCACACACCCTTCTGCACAACCACGGGCCATGGCTGCAGCCTCAAAACCAGCTTCAGCCCGTCCAACCTCCTGCTGTCAGGGAAGGATGGTCGGTTCCCCGCTGCTCTGACCCACCACCTCCCATCTGGTGGCACGAGCACCTGCAGGTGGCACAGTCCACAGCAATAAAAGTGATTCCTTCTCGGCCTGACAAGAAGCACAGCAGGATGACAGCGATGGCAGCGCAGACGGTGGCTGGATGTCCCTCTGACATCAGCAGAACCCAAACCTGCACCCTCCTGAACTTAAACTGAGTAAGTCCCAGTGATAAAGCTCCTGGAGAAGTTTCTCACCAAGAAAGGTCTGCACAGGCCTGGACTTTGTTAAAGCAAGAGCTCATGGGGAGCCACCCCAGACCCAACAGCACAGAGGAGCACCCATCCTGTCCGTGCTCACAGGACAGGCTCAGCACCCAGAGCACCCCCAGTACATCAGAGGTGCTGCCACTGTGGGCAGCTGGACACTTCCAGAAATTACCAGAGAATCCCAGACAGGTTTGGGTTGGAAGGGACCTTAAAGCTCCACCAGTCCCAACCCCCCTGCC